GTTCTTACTGTGTCGTGGTTCTAATTCCATGCTTTCGTTCTTTTTTAAACACAGAAACAGTTTTGTTTACCTGTTTTGTAGCTACAGTTTCGCCGATGGCTGCCGGCTTCTTCAGGCTGACGCGGCAGCCGTCGGCGAAACTGTAGCTACAAAACAGGTAAACAAAACTGTTTCTGTGTTTAAAAAAGAACGAAAGCATTGCAATGTTTAACTGTTGCTTCATTTGTTCCTCCTCTCCCTCACACCTTAAAAGTTTCACTAACAGCATGGGGAGATGGCAGCAGATTTGTTTGGGGGGAGCTTGCCACAGTCCTGTGAGCGTATGTAAATATGGTGTGTGTGTGCGTGCGTGCGTGCGTGCGTGTGTGTGTGTGTGTGTGTGTGTGTGTGTGTGTGTGTGTGTGTGTAACAGAACTTGAACACATGCCCTTGCTTGACTTCCTAATCTTGTTTCCTGCCCTCCCTCACGTATCTCGGTACAAAAACTTCACGCCGCTGTGATTCCTCCCCTCGCTCTGCCGGTTTCTCCTCTGTGTATCACACTGCAACAGCTTTATGCCTTCTTGCCACAGCTCCCCGCCCCAGCCCCAAAGCCCCTCCATTCCTGCTGTTTTCGCTGGGGCACTTGCACAAAAACGGCATTTGGCCTGATCCCAACCACCGGGGCCCACATACCTCCCAATCTGGAGATTAAATGGCACCAGTCTCTGAAGTCCTTCCAGGGACTAATGGCTTTTGTTGCTGGGAATAATCCACACATCCTCTCCCACATCCCAGGAAACCACTGGCCTGTTGTGAACCCCGCCTTTGCCCTCTTCATTTTTCTCTCTCATCTACGTCTTAATCTACTCTTCAATTTTGGTTGACCTCCCAGCCTCCCTGTGGCACAAACCCACGTTTCAGCGCAGCGACATCCAGGACAGAACCACCGGCGTTGAGGGGAGGATACAGTTGAGTAGACATTTGGGCTGAGAACCAAGCCGCGTTTTCTAGGGAGTCAGTCCAGGTGCCGTGTGAAGCTTAATGAAGAACCTAAATCTCCTTTCAGTTAGCTGAAGCTAAGTGGAAATAAGGAAAAAATAATAAAAGTGTCAGAGTGCTATCATCTTAAGAAACAGAAGACTGTCAGACAAAAAGCACAGCAGAGCCGCGTCTGTGTCACGACTTGAAGTCCGTTCAAAGTAAACATGGCACTGAGGAAAATTAGCTGGAAATGGGGAAAGGTTTTAGACGGATCAAAGAACACTTTGTTTTGGATCTGAGAGCAAAGCCAAGATTAGAACCCTCATCGCCCTCTATCGTTGAAAATATCTAGTGACGTCAGACGTTTATGCACAATGTGCTTTCTGCTATGAGCTCATATCCTGTCTGGGGTTTTTATTTTCTCGAGGGAGGCCTAAGAGGAAAAGAGGGAAGGCAGACAGAGGAAGAAAGAAAAAAAAAGAGCGACTGTGGTTACAGACCGCAGACACGGGGATGTTTAATGATCGCTCTAATTGCATTGCTTTATCAGTAACATTTAAAAACAAGACCAGACACTGATAACCTTTATTTAGCTTCAAATTCTAATTTTAACTTTACTAACAAAGCTCTCAGCAGCTAAAGCTAAAAAGGCACCGTAGGCCCTCCGAAACGACTGAATTTCCAGAAACCTGTCACTATGGTGGAACGCTAAAGGCCAGATTGAGAAGAGATTGTTTTTTTTATTAAAGTAAAGGTGACAGAGAAGAATGGCAAAAACAACAGGCCTCAACACTCCTAGAGTAATAATAACACAGAAAGCAAATGACTGACTTAGTGAAAAATTGTAAACAAGAGCTGGTGATGGGTTAAAGAGCAAGTTCACTGAGAAACCATCTTTACTTGTTATTGTAGAAATATGTTAGGTTACACATCAACATATGTACTTTGGACAAATAATGTCCATTGGCTGAAACCACCACTGCCATTTTGGCCATGTCACACATCTCGTCATGCCCAGACAATCGAAAAATGGGCAAAGAGGTGGAGCTGAGGCTGGGGCTGTGGTTGGAACAATGAACCAGTAGCAACTAGCTAACTTGGCTAACCCACAAAGTTAAGAAGGAGCTCCAGAGTAGCTGACCCGCGCGGTCGATTGGCTTCCATGAGCTGCGAAGCAATGTTACCGACTGATAAAATACAAGCAGAGCCTCTGACCGCTGCGATTGGACCCGGGAGCCCTGGCCGCCTACGTGAGGTCATGCTCCGCCCCAGTTGGAGATCAGCGGGAGATTAGCTACATGCTAACTCAAGCTAACAGAGGTTTTTCGGGCACTTTTAGCAAAAGAAGCGAGATAAAGCAACTCCAAAATCAACACAATGAGCAGCGGTGTTTCAGTAATCTCCCTCAGAGCTCCACAGGTAAGCAGCACAGCTTACCCCCGCAAATCTTTCACCGCGGTGAACCAGCAAAGCCTCTGCTAGCTAGCCTTTGTACCCAGTCAATCAGCCAGCCCCAACACGTTATATGTCAACCCATCTCTGACAAGCAGTGTTACATTAAATGCACAGCCTTTTCCCCATTCAACCAGCAAAATAAAGTACAGAAATATAAATGTACTTACTAATAAAAATGAAGCAGAAACCGCTTGGATGATAAGTTAGTGCAGGCAATAACCCCATCATGCCCTCTCAGTGAGACAAGTCAAGAAACTGAAAAAAGTGAAGCTAGAAAATTATTGCTAATATTAACTTGGCTGCATGGTGGAACAGTGGTTAGCACTGTTGCCTCGCAGCACAAAGGTTGCTGGTTCGAAACTCGGCTCGGCTGCGGCCTTTCTGCGTGGAGTTGCGTGTTCTCCCCATGCATGCGTGGGTTTCCCCCACAGATCACAACATACCCTATAGGTTATAAATTGTAAGTCGCTTTGGATAAAAGCGTCTCCTAAATAAATAAACATAATAATAACTTGCTCACTTATTTCTTAGTTGTTCTTGTCCAGCTTAAGAACTGTATGGTTAAATTTCCTTGGATGTATACATTTATTCTGTCCATCCATCTATTTATAGACAATATATATTTAGATCAAAAGATCCATCTATACACGCACTAGAAGAAGAAAAGATCATTTCTATAGCGCTTCTCAAGATGAAAATCACGAGGCGCTTCACAAAAACAAAAAAATGTAAAAATATTAAAAAGCATTTAGAAAATGTTTAAAAATATATTTAAAATGTGCAAAAATAGACAATTGTGATTAAAAAAAGTTAAGAGAGAGAGTGAACAGGAAAGAGAGAAATCAGTGGATCCTGAGGAAGGTGGAATAGGTGGGGAGAGCAGAATAAAGAGAGAGTGGTGAAGAAGGTCATACAAAAGCCAGCTTGAACAAGTGAGTCTTCAGCTGCTTTTTAAAGGAGACCACTGAGTCCACTGATCTCAGACTCAGGGGGAGAGAGTTCCAGAGTCTGGGGGCCACAGCAGCAGATGATCTGTCACCTTTGGTCTTTAGCCTGGTGCTGCACAACCAGTAGGCTTTGATCACTGGACCTCAGGGACCTGCTGGGGGTGTAGGGACTAAGAAAGTCACCAATGTAAGATGGTGCTTGTCCATGTAAGGCCCTATAGACTGGGGTGTCAGTGCACCCCAGGGCAGCTGTGGCTACATCGTAGCTCATCACCATCAGTGTGTGAATGAGTGTGTGAATGGATGAATGATACACTGTAGTGTAAAGCACTTTGGAGTCCTTACTCTGAGAGGCGCTATACAAGTGCGGGTCATTTGAAATGAACCCTGAAGTTGACTGGCAGCCAGTGAAGCTGGAGGAGAAGCGGGGTGATGTGGGTGTGTTTGGAGGACTTGGTCAGAAGCCGAGCACAGGCGTTCTGAACCACCTGTAGACGGTTCAGGGAGGTTCTGCTCAGACACGTGAAAAGAGAGTTACAGTAGTCTAAGCGTGAGGAGATGAAGGTGTGGAGAACAGTCTCAAGTTCAGAGCGGGACAGAATGGGACTCAGCTTAGCAATTTCTGCTAGCAAGTCTGAAGTCTCAAAGCCTATTAATCAGTCACATTGGGAGAAAAAAGGCGCAATGACGAATGGGAACATTTTTAAGAAAGATTTGGTAGGAATGTTTAATTCAGAAGGAATTTCAGAAAAGAGAATCAGCAGAGCAAAGTGAGACAGATTGAGGAGGTTTGAAATGCAAAATATGTCATTAATCATGAATTCCAGGACTTTTTTTTTTTTTACTTGAGAAATTAAAGAAGAAGCTACACGAAGAAAGCTGGAGAAAACAGTTTTGGTTGTTCCTCACTTATGGAAAACAGAATTTGCATCCCTGCCTGAGAGTAAGTCTGTAAACACCTTTATGAAAAACAGCACAAGCAAAAACGAACGCTTTTCCAAACCAAACTGCTTCTAAAATCAATATTTCAGCCGCAGAAGGCAACAGATTTTTGTGAAAGGAATAGAAATGCTATTAAACCCCCTGTAAACAATCTACCATGCCCTATTTAGCAAACAATTTGGTTAATAGCTGGTAAACATTCTGAAGAGCTGAGCCGTTTGGAGCCAGAAATTCCCCTCAGGATTTGATGAAGGCCAAAACAAAGACCGAATGTTGGGATTGGCTGTACATCAGTCATGTGACTAAAGACACAAATAAAATGAACACCATTATTATTTCATATCAGGGATACGAAATTGTTTGTGCATTAAGTATTTGTCAAACACGCTTTTACAACAAGAAATCTAATGTAGAAGAGGAAAATGTCTTCAAATGCATCAAATGAAGGAATAAATTGGCTATTTATCATCTGTTGGCTTAGCTGTATGGTTTAGTGAATATGCCGACATGTTCTCCCTGTTTGTTTTCTATCTCTCTGCATGCAGAAGATCACTTAATACAACCCAGAGTACACGTAGATCAAGAAAGCCTCCAGATTTCACAACCCCACGCTTTGCTTTTCATACACCAGGCTAATCACTTTTACTTTCCGCCACTTTTCTCTTTCTTATTAAAGACAGAAATGTCAAATACCTGGCCATGCCCAGACTGGAGAACCCTGCAGGGACAATAAGAACATCCAGACGGGGAAACGGGTGCACCCCGAGGACAGCGTGAGCCGCGGCCAAACATCGAGGCAGCAGCTTTAAGACTCCCATCTGCAAAAAAAGCAAAGCAATAAAATAAATAGAAGCTTTCATTCTATTTCTGTACCTACAGATGCCGTGCTTTGTTTCACATACATTTATAGCATCCCTAAAGAGACCTAGGGACAGCCAGGACTAACTGAACAAACTCAAATCTTTGATGTGATACATGTTATTTTGGCGAACACACACTCCCCCCACATGGGAATCGACTCACCGTTCCGCTGGGAGACGGCAGCTGAAAACCTCTGGCATTTTGACACTAACATTAACCAACACTAACTGTCTCTTCTAATCTCATAAAATCTAATTAGCGGAAGTCTCAGCGGCTCGTTGACAGAACTCCACCTGGGCCTTCTGGAGCAGGCAGACGGGGCTAAATACACGGTGTGGAATCACCCGCTGGGACCCAGCCGACCGCTCGGAAAACCGGCAAGGGTAGTCGCCATGGGAACAAGAGATGGCGTCATCTGCCATGCCTGGATAATCAGTTGCGGAGAGCTTCTCATCCTCATGGGAGGAGTGACAGCGTGCAGAGTCGGAGCTGGTTGCCTGGTCTCCTCTGTGGTGGATGAAAACAAACAAGAACATTTGTTTATTAAATATTCTCTTTAATAAGCACGAAAATATGTAAAATATAATCTACAGCTATCAAATAATACCAAAGATGTCAATATAATCTAATATTCAGAGCTGAGTCTGTCCTCGTCAATGCAAATTTTCCAAAGGTGAAGAGCAACGGCCAAGTTTCCCTCCAGTCATTCGCTGAAAATGAAAGCCTCCCTTGTGCTGTAGTTTGGGACTCATGGGGCTACGGATGGGCTGTTGCTGAAGGAAAGTTTTGAGTGGAGGGGGAGGATTACTGGAAACCACTGGCAGGACTGCCAACCTGCTGGCCTGTGGAGAGGAGACACCAGCCTAGCACCGCCATGCCCACAGGAAACTTGGCCTCTTTAATGTTCCAAACTTTACTTCCTCCTCTTCAGTAAAAAGTTATATTCACGTTAACATTTTTACTCTTATTGGCTTACACAACCAATGGCCTATGGTCAAGCTTGAACTTATTTATAATACAATAAAAAGGTCATTAATGAACCAAACCCACCCTTAAACGCACCGTTTTTGGTCTGCTGAGGGGAAAGTCACACCAAGGAATGTCGAAGGGCCAGACTCGGGTTAATAACAGTCTGGAGAGGAGGAGGCCCTACAAAAAAAAATGGATGCAGGAAAATGATTTAAATACCTGCCAGTCTGAAGCTGGGAGCTCTTTTGGTTTTCACCAGAAAATCCTGCAGGTTCTGTCACAAGCTCAGGCTCGGTCCATTCACCACGATCCGGACTGACTTCAGCCACTTTTTTCAGTGCTGGAGGGGTTTCTGCTGGGACTTGGTGCCAGTGGCCCACGGCCAGAGTGAAGGTGGATGCAGGCATGGGCATTGTGACGTAATAATTCCAGATTAAGAAATCTGCATGGAATTTAAAAAAAAAGAGGAATGGTTGAAAATGTTGCACTTTGTCTCTGCTTTTTGCAGATGATTCCATCCTGTTGCTGATCTCCAGCTGTCTCTGAAGCAGCTGGGATGAGAATCTTGCCCTCTTTGGGTCAGGGATGAGGTCCTGCTCCAAGTGGAGGAGTTTAAGTACCTCAGCGTCTTCACGAGTGAGGAAAAGATGGTACAACGTCTGCAGTGATGCAGGCGTTGTACCGGTCTGTCGTGGTGAAGAGAGAGCTGAGCCGGATGGAAACGCTCTTGATTCACCGTTCGATCTCGTTCCTACCCTCACCTATGCTCACAAGCTTTGGGTAGTGACCATAAGAACGAGATCGGGGATACAAGCGGCTGGAATGAGTTTTCTCCGCAGGGTGTCTGGGCTCTCCATTAGAGATAGGGTGAGAAGAACAGTCGTCTGGGAGGGGCTTGAAGTAGAGCCGCTGCTTCTTTGAGAGAGAGAGCACGTTGAGAGAAGTCGGTGAAGGTGACTCAGGCACTTGGTTGGGATGCTTCACTGGGTTTCCCCGGGCAAGTCCAACTGGGAGAAGACCCAAGGGTAGACTCAGGAAATCTGGTGGGACTATGTTTCTTGTCTGGCCTGGGAACGCCTTAGGATTCCCCCAGAGGAGCTGGCCCAAGTGCCTGGGTAGAGGGAAGTCTATTGGGCCATTCCCATCTGTACCGGGTCGGCCCAGGCCGGGTAGCCCCAGTCGGCCCCAGCCTGGCCCGGTTGATTCCACACATCCTTGTCTTAAGCCCATGTGGGCTGATTCTACCCACCAATCAGAGGCTTGCTCTAATGGAAGGTGTGGATTTGCTGTCAGCAGTGGGTGTGTTGGCCCTGGTCGGCCTGAAGCAGACCCCCTCGAGAAGAGGGCTGAGAATGAGCCTTGGTTGGCCCGGAAAAATACCAGGCCACCCAGATATGTAAACAACCTACGCTACCCGGCCCGGGCCGACCCGGTACAGATGGGAATGGCCCATAGGCCTCTCTGCTTAGGCTGGTGCCCCTGCGACCCGAGCCCAGATAAGTGGACAAAGATGGATGGATGGATGAAAATGTTAACAAAGACATTTGGGAAAGATGTAAATGCATTCAAGTCTTTAACAATTTTAAATAATTCTTGTAATTAACTGTGTAGCTTTGGCCTTTTATGACATTAAACGGAGAAGAGTGAACTATTAAAAAACATTTACTGCTAATCAAAAAAAGATTCTTAAATCGATTAGTTTAGATTTTACTGCTGTAATATTCTAATCCAGGCTGCAGAAAACAATTTTAGCTATGCTCATTCATGATTCCTTTGGCTCGGACAAGAGGACGGGTCCATCATGCCTCCGCTAGTCCAACCCACATGACTGACTGGCATGAGAGGAACAGATGTCAACACTGCGTCTGAGTGGTGGGGTAAAATTATCTGAGGTGTGGAAAGAATTTTTCTAAAACCAGGAACAAAAAAATAAATATTAGTGTTTTTAAAAAGTACTTTGTCTAAATGCAATAAAATAAAGTATATTAGTGGCCTGTAGATGAATCTGTTGTAACAGTCCTTCTTAATCTGTATTAATGATTTCAGAGGAAAAACGACGCAACTTAAAGTCATTATTGCCGATGGTTCTGAGGCATCTCAGGTGTCATTTTCCTAACAAGACAAAAGAGAATCCATTTGACTTCTAACAGGCGTCAGAGCTTACGTGTGTCCCCGTCCTCAGCAGGAACAGCCTGCTCCTCTCCACTCATCAAAACCACACACTCACTAGGGGCCCGTACGGTTGCCTGCCACGTTGACATGGCAACAGGCGGCTCCTGGCAGGGGAAGAGGGCTCGGTTGTTGATGGGAGAACCGGCAGTGTAAACACACATCCTGGAAGGGTAAACAACAGCAAACTATAAACAACTCTCCTTTCATTGCTGCAAAGATGCACCAAACACTCGCAAATGCAAAACACCCCATTTAGAAAAGAGTAAAACAGCCTGGGGTGCTTTTGGAAATTAGTATTATTATTTTCTTACGTATAGCTGTGAAAATGAAACTAATGTTTGCAGAAGGATGCAGCTGAAGACAAACCTGTGGTCCTGGTCATTGGTCCACCTCACCGAGCCTCCTGATGGCGTCGTCTTGTAGGAGATCTTGACAACACGAGGGAACTCTTGAGGTGTGGTGACGCCTGCCTTCCTCACCTGCAGACTCCAACGATCTCTGTAAAAATGCAGCGAGTCTCCACCCGGAGCACGGCTACAAAGCGAAAACAACCGATGCTTCTGCCTCCACTGCGTAGAGGGAATGGAGAAAAGGTTCTGGATGAGGGCCAGTTGTGACCTTTCTGATGCAAGGTTTGACGGGAGGCCCAACACATCTGACAGAGGAGTGACGTCCACCTCCTCCACCTTTAACACATCAAGATCACAGCAGTCCAACACGAAGGTGAAATCCGCACAACTGGTGGTTTGCCACAACTGTGAAGCCTGAATGTTACGGCTGTCACCTTCGGTATCGTCTCCTGTGTCACGTATCTTCTCCATCCTTGTTTCAGTCCTCTCAGTGCGTGCTGCGTCTTCTCCGAGTGCAGCAGTGTCTTGATATTTAGTCCCAATGTCACCAGCTTCAGGCTCAATGTCATCCTCAGCCTTAGCCCCCCCTGAAGAGCAAGGCTCCAAAAAAAGAACAATACTTCCACTGATGACCCTCTTGTCACAATGAACCATCAGGTCCAACACATAATGTCTGACAAGTATGTGTTTAGTATTAGCTCGAAGCGGGAGGTCATCTGCGTCTGGGTTGAGGTCCCCATCTGGCTCCATGTCACAACGATGATGCCAATCACTGAAGAGCTAAACCAGGAAAAAGGAGAATTGCTCTTTGTTAAAACTTTTATTACTGTAATTGGGGCATATTTAAGACAAAACTACAAGCTGGTGCATTACACCCTCCCTTAGGCTGAGGTGCATGCTTCTCTCTATAATGTGAGAGTGCTGATATGAAGGATCAAATATTTTCTACACAACTATTGTATTTTTATTTAGATCTAATTTATCTGCAGCTTTCTGAGCGTTCATTTCGAATCCATCATTTTTTTAAAGAAGGCACGAGGAAGGCTCGGGGTTTAATCACCATTTGGAGCAGAAACACTGAATTAAGTGATTGTTTGCAAAGGTACGTGCCCAAATTAAAGAAAACTGTACTGTAACATAGAAGAGTCTAGGGAAATGTAATTATATTGTCAAGAGTGTATGAAATGGCATCATAATACAGATTTCATTTAGATAGCTAACATTTTTGTCACAATTTGACAAAAGCCAGCGTGAAGGAGGAACTATTCCGTTTTAACAGTCGTGGTGTTTTATTTTTAAAGTCCTGATAAAAATAAAATGCTGACATCTGAGCGAACCTGCAGAGAATGCCAATCTGTCTGCACGTGCGCGACAAACAACACCGGAACTTGTTTTATGTCAGTATGTTTATGTATTTAGCAGACGCTGTTGTCCAGAGCGACAGTAAAAGCTTAGCGGTTTAAAAATAACAACCGAGTTGCCAAAACAAGCACCAACTCTCCTCAAAATGTGGAGTACGTTATGATAATAAAAAAAAACAGCAAACGTACCTCTGAGCATCACTAAAACACGTTTGTTTTGAAAGAAATGCTCTCCCAAGTCCCTCTTCAGTGTCCCGTGGTGATGACGTCACATTCACGCGACACCATATTGTAGTTTTCCATGTGAGCTCGATTTGACATTTTAAATATTTAATTAACTTTGAAATACGTATTTTAAGTTTAGCCAAATCGTAACTAAAATGTATTTGTTATCAGTTTTACTATAACTGCTTCACAGCTGAAAGTAAAGTTTGTGCAATAGTACAGTCAAAGATAAACTAGGTTTAAAGCATCTATGAGATAATTTCTTGCTACTCTAAGAAGTTCAACAGCAATACATAACCAGCAAATGTGTATCTTAACTTTAAAAAAAATAAGTTTTGAGTTTGTTTTTATCTCTGGTCTATGGAAGCACAGAGCTCCCACCCATGCAAAATAAAATTAGAGCAATATTATGTTGACATAACTTTATTGTTCCAAAAATATAACTTTCACATTGATACAATATATTATCATGTTCTTACAAAAAAAATGTTTATCCTGTTTGTACAATATAATATCACATCCTTACAATCTAAATATCCTATTGTACAAATGTCTCCAAATCTGAGACCATGGTTCTAGACCGGAAAAGGGTGGCGTGCCAACTCCGGGTCGGGAGAGAGGTCCTACCTCAAGTGGAGGAGTTTAAGTATCTCGGGGTCTTGTTCACGAGTGAGGGTAGGAGGGATCGGGAGATCGACAGGCGGATTGGTTCGGCGTCTGCAGTGATGCGGACGCTGAGCCGATCTGTCGTGGTGAAGAGGAAGCTCAGCCAGAAAGCCAAGCTCTCGATTTACCGGTTGATCTACGTCTCAATCCTCACCTATGGTCATGAGCTTTGGGTAATGACCGAAAGAAAGAGATCGCGGATACAAGCGGCCGAAATGAGTTTCCTCCGTAGGGTGGCCGGGCTCAGCCTTAGAGATAGGGTGAGGAGCTCGGACATTCGGGAGGGACTCGGAGTAGAACCGCTGCTCCTCCGGATCGAAAGGAGTCAGTTGAGGTGGCTTGGGCATCTGGTCAGGATGCCTCCTGGACGCCTCCCTGGGGAGGTGTTTCGGGCATGTCCTGCCGGCAGGAGGCCCCCGGGTCGACCCAGGACACGTTGGAGAGGTTACATCTCCAATCTGGTCCGGGAACGCCTTGGGGTCCTGCCGGAGGAGCTGCTGGAGGTGGCCGGGGAGAGGACGGTCTGAGCTCCCTAGTTGGGATGCTGCCCCCGCGACCCGGATAAGCGGAGGAAGACGACGACAAAAATGTAATATTTATATAGTACACACATGAAATTTATAAATGGTATATGGCCTGTATCTGATACAGTGCCTTCTAGAGTCCTGGAACCCCCCAAGGCGCTTTACAACATAATCAGTCATTCACCCATTCACACACACATTCATGCACTGGTGGGGATGAGCTATGATGTAGCCACAGCTGCCCTGGGGCGCACTGACAGAGGCGAGGCTGCCGAGCTCAGGTACCACCGGTTCCTCCAACCACCACCACCAGGCAACGTGGGTTAAGTGTCTTGCCCAAAGACACAACGACAGAGTGAGCGAGGCTCAAACCTGCAACCTTCCGATTACAGGGTGAGCACTTAACTCCTGTGCCACCATCGCCCACATATTGTTAGGACATTACGTATTGTACAAATGTGATAACAAATTGTAAGAATGTGAAAATTATATAGTTAGAACAATAAAGATAACGCTCCAATGTTATTTTGCTTCTGCGCTTCTGTACAGATCAGTTTTCACATTAATTTATCATGAAAAATCCAAAAATATGTCAGGCAAGTTTTCCCTGAATTGAATGATACCTAAATACTTTATTTCATGACATGAGCAACTGATACAGGGAGTGCAGAATTATTAGGCAAGTTGTATTTTTGAGGAATAATTCTATTATTGAACATCAACCATGTTCTCAATGAACCCAAAAAACTCATTAATATCAAAGCTGAATGTTTTTGGAATTAGTTTTTAGTTGTAGCTATTTTAGGGGGATATCTCTGCAGGTGACTATTACTGTGCATAATTATTAGGCAACTTAACAAAAAACAAATATATACCCATTTCAATTATTTATTTTTACCAGTGAAACCAATACAACATCTCCACATTCCCAAATATACATTTCTGACATTCAAACAAATCAGCGACCAATATAGCCACCTCTCTTTGCAAGGACACTCAAAAGCCTGCCATCCATGGATTCTGTCAGTGTTTTGATCTGTTCACCATCAACATTGCGTGCAGCAGCAACCACAGCCTCCCAGACACTGTTCGAGAGGTGTACTGTTTTCCCTCCTTGTAAATCTCACATTTGACCAAGGGCGTCAGTTTGTTTTCAGAATTGCTGGGGACAATAACCATACACTTGAGTGGGGTTTAAAAATTGCTGGGGACAATAAAGTAGGCTAGCACAGGGGTCGGCGGCTCTGGAGCCGCATGCGGCTCTTCCATCCATCTGATGCGGCTCTCTGTGCTTGTAAAATAATGAATGAATATTTAATAAAATGCTTTATATTTTACTGCATTAATTTTACATCTGTAAGCCAATTCTAAATGTAAAGATTGTCTGCGTAAACCTGAACAGGTCCAACCCGGTCTTACTGTGAGACCGGGTTGACGCGTCACGCTTGTGCGTAATCATATGCGCTTCCTGAGCTGGAGTATGTCAGATTCTGGGCTTCTCCTCAGACGGCTCCTGGATGCGTCGCCACATTGGAGACAGGAACAAGCACTATTCAGCCAAAGTTTCATAATCAGGTGTGGCAGTGTGTGTCCTGTCACAGTGTCCCGATAGATAATGCGCCCTGGCTACTTGGCTAAGGGGTTGTCCCTTTGGCTGACTGGTTAGAGCGTATGACTCTCACCCGGGAGTCTGGAGATCGAATCCCGCCCGGGTTTTGTTTCTCCACCTTGCCACATATTGACAGATAAACTCAAGGAAGTTGGTTGTTTTGAAAGAATTACCCCGACGCACACTGATGCGCATGGATGAGCTGACATTTTAATCGTTATGCACATCGCAGAGGTAACTTGATTCCCATCAGAACATCAGAGCGTTATACTGGACACTGTGTTCAGCGCGGCTCGGAGCGCCCACGGTGGACAGTGGGCTGAAGATCTGAGGGGTTCGCAGCGCAGTGCAGAACCACGGCGCATGCGATCATTTCCTCCCACTGAAGCGTTCTGGAAACCCGGTCTCTCTGAGGGATGTGTCACTTGGAAAAATGTTCTTCTTATGAAATTATGAAACTTTGGCTGAACAGCGCTTGTTCCCGTCTCTAATATGGAGACGCATGACGCATCCAGTCTGAGGCAGAGTAGCTCTTCAGCTCATAAAGCACCTGTAGAGACATTTGATCACACACAAAGTTTATGTGGAGCAGAAGTGGTCGGGCCACGGCAGGTGAAACGTTCCTAGCCTACATGAAGTGTAACATTAATGTGTTACTGGACACGCTGGTCTGGCTGGTTAGACCAGTGTTTGAAGTGGAAAACACACACACACACACACACACACACCAATTAAAATAATGCTGATAGTGTGGACTAGAAGACAGGTGATGGTTTACGTATTTAAATGATGATCAGGCTGCTGTAAAATGTAATCTCCATCCACATCCAGACACAATCATCCTCTATTCTTTCTCTATTTGCTCTGCTCTTGTCTGGGCTAACTAGCGGCTGATGCACATTTTACGCATTTGGAGAGGTGGGCTGGATGCTTTGCTTTTACTGGAAGATGGTCCACTTAACGCACGGGTGTAGACTACATATTAATGACAAATGAATGAAAATTAAACTGGGAGTTTTTACTTCATATTTTATAAATAAAAATGACGGGGGAACACATTTATGACGTCGTTTTAAACAAAATTTTCTAGCGCGTCCTGCCTGCTTCACTAAGTCACTGCTTATTAAGGTCCGTCCAGAATTACCGTGGCCCACCCAAAAATGAAAACCTGGCGCCGCGCCTGTTATAAACCTCTGCAAATGGTTGTTCTTCACTTTATCAAACTCAGACTTTGTACAGCTAATGTCAAGATGTAAAATTCTGAATTCAGTCGAGCTCTTCCGTCCCTCCCTCTCCTGCTCTCCTGGAAACCCGACATCGGTTGTCAGAAGCGGGAGGGGAAGAAGGAGATGAGGCAAACAGAGTGAGTGCGACATAGAGAAACCAGACTGGTGTGGAGGTGAGCAAAACAGAAGGAAAAGTGTGGGCGTTGAATCCCCCACGGGTGCGACGCCCATGCGAGCGACCGGTACCGGCTGCTGTCACCTGGTTGTGAGCAGCTCTCTGCTGTCTGAGGGTAGGCCCCGCCCACAACGCTGCGGCCGCTATGGCTCCCAGTGTTTTCTTTACTGTGGGAAACGGGTAATAATGGCTCTTTGATGGGAACAGGTTGCCGACCCCTGGTATAAGATCTGAGCTGGTAAAACAAAAATCCTCATCAGCAGGCTTTTTTTAAAGTGGGGATGACACAGCTGCCAATCACAAACTTTGCCGGGGACATGTCCCCGGCGTCCCCGGTTAAAATGACGCCTATGGTTAGCAGCCTTGAAACAGCCTGATGAACAACTCTCCCCACAATGTTTTAAAAATGCTAATATAATGTTTCTGCTATGCTAAATAATGATTTCTCTATAGAACTACAAAGTCCGACTGGGGGAGGAGAGTACAGGTCTGCACTATGGAGGAGGGCGGAGTTTACAGCTCCTCCTCCAGTTTAAAGAGACAGCTACTCAAAAACGGCTCATTCTCAAGACTCTCCTCAGAGCAGGGGTAGATGAGGGTCTGTAGAGCAACAATAATGAGGAAATCAGACCAAAGAACTGCAGTTCCACTGTATTTAGACCCCAACTGAAGGATTTAGATGTAAAAAGGAATAACTTAAAAGCATGTTATGTCTCCTTTAATGGTAACATAAGATCTTTGTTTTAGTAACTCTTTGACATTTATTTATTGATAATTGTGTTATTGTTAATTCTTATTTCTTGTCATTCCTTAATAACAAAATTGCAAATGCTAATATTATAAAGCAAGTGGAAAT